TTTAGGTATATGTAAAGTTGAAAATCTAATAAAGGTTGTTTTACGTTGATTTTCTGGCCACTGTACATACATATTACCTCTCCCATGGGGGTAGGCAGATACTATAGAACGCTAATTGCTACGATTCTCGCGTACCTCTTTCGCTTCATCAACATTCATCTGTCTTTTTATGAATGCATGCCACACACACACATAACCATAGGTATTTACTTATGTATGCTATTTTAAGTACTAACATTCTAATTTTTCTATCTTTGTTATTTGATACTCTATTTCATAGAGGTATAATGTATGTATGTTTTACGTATAGGGATCTATGAGAATATTGCTTTTAATATTCTATCATAAAAAATAAGGCCAGTTATGTCACCAGTATAAATAACAAATGAATACCAAGAAAACTAAAAATATACAGCTTTCATAAATAGTAGCTTTTTAATATTCCAGTCAGCTGTTCCCGCAACATGCAAATAGGATTATATTACTTTAGCAAAAGATATTTTGGTGTTTTCGTCTGGCCGACAAAATTATCTTATTTGCTTCTTGAATGATGAACATGGAATTAAGGTTATTTTTTACTTGATTCTGACCTTTTCACAAGGACAACTAGGCAAAAAAACAATTTCGTGTCACCCTACCTTATGAGTCTCTTAAAATGTGTATTACATAATGAAATAAACCAAATGAGATAAATTGCAGAACAAATTAAACCAAAACAGCTGAAGACATGGACTTAATCGTTTTTTTATTTAATTGGATAGCTTATAGCTCTAATAGTTCGACTAGTTTCAAACCACTCCAGGAGCCCAAAGCCATAAACTCGTCACCAAACTCCCAAGAAATGTCACTTACACTTCATGTAATCAATGCTAAAAACCAGAGTTCAGTTGTTCAGTTAGCTGAATGCTATTAAGTAGTAATATAAGAACTATTTTTCCATCAAAATATAATTACATATCAGGCGATATCAAGAAGGTCGCCAATCCTTTCTTCTGTCTGTCCATTAAGTTGCTTTACTAGACGATGTCTAACCATCGACAATATAACGGTTACGGTACGTAGAAACCGTCCTATATACAATTGATTACCAGTAAAAGATTTACGTCAGCCACCGTAACTTCGGAATTAAAAGGTATTGAAACGATATTAATTAGTTTTTTATGGTTCTATACCGAACTGAGACAACCAGAAACGTCTATATTTTTTATGGAATAAAAACCGGTAAACGTACAGATGGATCACCTGATGGTAAGCAATCGGCGCCGCCCATGGACACCCGAAACACCACGGGTGTTTCAAATGTGTTACCAGCCTTTTGGGATTAGGAATTTGAAGATTGTTGGGGTTTCAGGGATTGGGGGGGGGATTGGGCCTTGATGAATGAATCTTCAATTTATTCTTCAATTCTTTTGTCTAGAAGAGACATAATAATATGTATATTCTTATACATATAACTCTCACGTAACATATTCTTCTAATTTCCGAAAGGGTGACAGCCATTATCTCTTAAACTACTATGGTTCCTATAATTTAAACTAATAAAAACATTAAATGAACATTAAAGAATGAGGAAGAACCCCTCTGTGGTTCGAAACAAGGGGAGCTTATCTCAGTATATTCACGTGAGTAACCCGCGACTTTAGTTAATTTAGTATGTCTCACGATAGTTATTATAAAAAAAACTTAATATGTATGTATGTCACATTGTATTAATTGTCAGTTTCATATTGGCCGTGTATATGGCCAGTCTATCATTAACCTATAATTACTCTATTATTCTAGTCGATACGTATATGGGGCAACTGTGTCCTAGGCACTTAACAATATTATATTCACCGTTGGGACACATATAACCTTGGTTCAAACACATGTTGCATACCCATTGGCCTTCGTTAGGAACAGGGTCAGCCATATAAATAGAGATTCACTGATTTAATACCCTTAGGAGATGCGTGGTCATCTTCTAAGAGTAAATCTGTGTAATTACAGCACGTATGCAAATGTAATGTGCTTTTGTACCTAATGTTTGTTTACTTTGGTATTAGTATTTTCCTATCTGCTATTTATTCAAATTGACTTAAATATGAGTCCCGATGTGACTTGAAACTAGTCGAGATTTCCTCTATTGGTTTACGTAATATGCAGTATTACAATGAACACGATTGTAGCATTTGTTACGTATTTCTACTATGAATTACTTGATGAATATAATGTCTAACAGTAACTGGAGTGTAAATAAACGATTAGAAACATAATTTTAAACTGTCAAACACCAAGCGGTCACCGGTGACCGCAACCTATTGTTCTATAATTGTGTCTACAAAACCGGTACTCGACGAGTTAAAACTAACATATTATTCTATCATTCGAAATTTGAAGTATTATTTTATATGGTAACTAAATAATATACGAACTCAAATTTTCTATTGAGAGAAAACTGGTAATACATAATTTACAGCTCATGAATTGACAATCGTAATGCAAATGATATTTAAATAATTCAGTCGGAAAGTTAAAACACAGTACATACTTCTCTTCTAAAAGGAATATCGTCCATTCTGACGGAATTCACTTCAAATATTTTATTTGTATAAATCTGTATAAACGCACCCAGTAATAGGGGGTTAACCTATTGTCGTACATCGAGCACAATTCCCAACCCCGCAATATTAACTACTATACATTTTTAGAAATATCTGCTATTAATTTTTAGAATGCCATTTTCTAAAATATTAGGTCGGCCGCGCGGAAAATTAGACCTCCTTGCTTTGCAGTCACACTACAACCAAAACCTGAAAGCAAAGTACATACATAGTATTGCACAATATGTATACTTATATATTTTTTATTGGAACAAGCCCGCTATAACATCCCTATACCGCTGCAACTCCTGTAAGCCAGGATCTACAGTAGATTACAACCATGAAAACACCGGAACACTGAAGTTCGGCGCGTCCCAGGGACATAAATAACTACTGTCTTGGTTCCCGCAACAAAATGAATGAGAAGATATAATAAGAGGAGAAGAAAAAAGCTATAGTTTCCTCTTCCCTCGGTGAATCACTGCAGGAGAGAATAAATGAAGCCTAAAGGCACAAAAAGAGACTATAATATTATACTGGGAGATGCCCAGTCGCCGAGGACCACGGAAATTTGACTAAAAACTAAGTGGGTCCTATGTGTGAGCTGTTACACTTGCTTCCAATAATAGGTCTATACCAAAAGCGCCTAAACGCATGGAAATTTGTTCTAGATTCCACAAGGTTCGTATAATAAGCTACACCTGACGAAACAATTAAATTATTTAACACAGTGTTACGTTCATATTGCCTGAGACCAAACTCCCAGAGTATGTGATGGGCGTACTATTCGTTTTGCAACTCCGCCATCGAACATTGATACCATGGTGAAGCAAACCAAAATTAATTTAGCTTCTGCCTCTGTACTGAGTCAATCCTTATTATCAATCTATCTTTATCTTCTTTCTTTACGAACTTTAACTTGGATACATAGGTACTAAGTTATCGCGCTCACCACTGAACTGAATCAGGTTATATTTTCTTAGTTCTAATTTATGAAGGTTCAATGAAATAAATTGGGCCAACGACGACTAAAGGTCACTAAGTTCAAGGGCTAGTTCACCTCTTTATTAAAAATAGATGCCACTTAAATCTATTTTCATTTTAGCTTCGGTATTAAATTCGACACGCTATCATTAATCTTTAGACGGTTGAGGTTTGATATCCAATAGGAGACGAGTCGTCGAAAGAGGGGGTGAATCGTCTCAAACGAGTGTAATGATTTGATGTTGATTGACTTAAATGGTACAGTTTTATAAGTCTCCTAATTGTTATTAGTCATTAATAATGTATCTATTTCGTGTCTCCTTCTTCTACTTGTATTGAGGTTAGTATTAAGTCCATCGTGATTCTAACCGCATTCTACTACCTATATACCTACTAATGGCTTCTGTGGGATAAAAAGTAGCCTGTCTTGTTCCAAACCATAATCTAACCCTGTTCCAAGTTTCAACTCGACTCCTTCAGCCGTTTTGACGTAATCGAGTAACCAACATACACATACAGGGTGTCCGGTAATTAATAGATACATGGATAAATGCTCTTCTGGGCAGTCTTTTGTACCATTGCTCGCTTATTTTCGATGCGGCTGCTCTGACACTGCTTCATTTCATTAAGTACCGAACACCTTGTATAAATTTACAAACTTTCCCATTTATAATATTAGTAGTAAGATATAGTATAACTGTACACTTTACAGTTTATACACATAATCACATTATGTATTTCACACTTGACATGAATGTAGAAACGAAACTAAATAAAAGTTTGCAAAATAGATCAACAACCCCAATAGGTATATAACGTTTAATCGCACAGAAATTTAGTACCTCAAAACGTTAATATTACTGTAATATTCACCTTTAGAGTCATTTAAATCCCCGAAGAGTAGGTCACTTTTACCAGTCATGTTATTTTATTTATATTTATTTAGAAAACAACCAGCGAACCCAATAATAGGTTTCTCTTATTTCCTAAATTGTGTCAACATGCGAACGGACTTAATAAAATAATAAAAAATGACTTCTTGATCTCGATCACAAAGACTTGAATTTCGGAATAATGATTTGAGATACGAAGTCAGTGTCCAAATTGCTTTTATTAATCATGAGTTCATAATAGTATAATGAGATATGGCAATAGGCTCAACCCCTATTACATGGGACTGATAACATAAATAGTTATTTGTGAGTGTTACACTGAACAGTGGCATTAAGCGCCATAGATAATGTACTCCTCTGCCTACCCTTTCGGGCATAAAAGGCGTGATGAGTGAGCGTGTTATAAGTTGAATGTAATATATTCTAGTTGCGGTTATACGACCAACGAAGTATTGTGTTAATTATTATGTATCTTATTTACAATTCCCTGTAGTTACCTTTAATTCTATAAATATTTAAACCCTTATTCTTCTTGTTACAGGATTTGCCCGTGCAGCAGCTAGAAAAACTTAAAATGGGTGAGTGTAACTTAATTACGTATTAATTAGTACTTATAGCACTTTGGGACCAAGATTTTGAATAGACTTGGTTTTAAGGCAACCTCAATGTAGTTTAGTAGCAATTTAAGATGTAATAAAACTTAAGTCGAAAGTAAAATTTCGATTTAACTTTGAATAAACAACTCAATGCTCATAACTATTGGCTCCTAGCGTAGCTTGAAACTGATCGTGTAATATCGTTGAACAGTTACGAACCTACTTAATTAATTGAATATGACACACAACAGTGTTATAATACATTTAAGCATTATCTATGTTTAAATTTAAATTATTTATTTATTTATTTAGTCTTTAATGTACACAATTTAATTGAAATGACACATAAGGCGAACTTAATGTCCTATGGCACTCTCTACCAGTCATCGTTAGAGTTTAAGTAGGAAATCTGCGAAAAACAAGGTACGGATAAACTAACAACAAGAAGAAAAAATTATGTTAGGTATATTGTAATTTGATTTTTATCCTGTCTGGTCGATAGTCGATAGTCTAGGTGCAAGCCAGACTATATCCACTAGATTCTCTAAAGTGCATTGGCTTATTATATTATGCAGACACGTCCTCAATGAGATTGCGCTCTAACTCTACCAGGCAGATGTTTATGTGTCCTATATGAAACGGGTGATTCTGTTAATCGCAACATTTATTTTAATAAAACATTGCCACCCTAAGATTTTCTCCTGTGTCGTCGGTGCGTTTACAAACATACAAGTTCATATACACATGATACCCAGACCTGGAACAACAATCTGTGGATCACACAAAGAGTTGTTCCGTGCGGGAAACGAACCCGCGACCGTGCCAACCGTGCCGTCAAATTATTACATCTCATTGATGGAAAACGGACTCAAAACCATTCAAACAAACAAGCAGTCATAAGTATTAGTTCATTTTTTTTTTTTGTAGGTTACGTTGTTACCATAAGGTAATAAAACTAAATTAGGTACCTATAACTAAGTCCATTTCTTCCAGTCTGAAGGTTCTCACAGCCAATATTAATTTCATATAAAATATCATCATTTATCATTTGCTTCTAATTTTGTTCACGCTCAGAATATTTATGAAATGAATGTCATTTGTTCTTTATTCTCTAGAATCAATTAATTTATTCATGAAATATTCATAAAGACATTAGATGAGGTGACAGTTTTGGTGATGAAACCAGAATTCTGTTAGATATTTTAGTCTGTATTATAATTAGAATTTCACTTTAAACTAAATACCTAGAAAGAGACGGGATATCGAATTTACAGCATGCTGAAAACAATTAATAGTTACATTACTCTCATTGTTAGGGGGCGTGAAAAAATTACGCCATGTAATTTTGTACCTAAAATTTTTGACAAAATATCCAAACAATTTTGATCGATTCTCGATTTCGACTGCACGGTTGGCGGTGGCTGGGCAACTGGCTGCCACGCAACGTGTCGCGGGCTTGATTCCCGTATGGAACAACTCTTTGTGTGATCCATAAATTGTTGTTCCGGGTCTGAGTGTCAAGTGTATGTGAACTTGTGTGTTTGTAAACGCACCTGACACAGGAGAAAATCATGGTGACGGGCAACGTTTACAATAAAAATTGGACTGAAAAGATTTCGAAATGATGTGACCTCAAAACAAAAGTAACATAATTATATTAGGTGTTTTGAGTTAGATGCATGTATATTTCTTTATTAAAAAATAGATTTTTTTAATCTAAGTATAACCGTACTCACGATAAAATTCTGAGCATGCTTCTGACATTCTACAAACTGGCTAGCACCTGTTGAACGTGGCCAAATTGCCACATTTGCGGGGAACATTCACGCTCGACCTATCAATCATGATTGATTAACCCTCTGTAAACACAACCGGTACATAACCTGTAAACATCCTGACTGGGTTTGGTATAATGATCCAGTTTGACACGTGGACGGTTAAACATGACATGTATGTTGCTGGTTGTCGATATTAAACCTCAAACGTGTAGTTTGTTTTGTAGCCTTTGTTAAAAGTTTGTTAGTGAATTATTTTGTTATTATTTGTAAGTAAATAAAGGTATTATTTACCTCAGCATTATAGAACTAGCTGTTGCCCGCCACTTCGTCCGCGTAGAATATGAATTTTAGGATATAACTTTTTTATTGTTACAATTTTCCAAAATTAATGTAGCCTATTATGTAATACGTCAGCTAATGCAAAATCGGTTGAGTTTGACAGACAGACAGACTAAAAATTATTATTTTGGTATGTGTATTGTATGCATATGCATGTAGTGAAAATTATTTTTCAAACCATCTCCGTGTGAGAAGACCTTTGATCAGCAGTGACCACTTATAGGCTGTTGATGATGATGAATGTATTCCAACGAATATTTCCATATTTATTCAACTCAATTTATAAATGCAACCATCGCATATACACGAGCTCCTGCAATTCCCAGCGTGGTACTCGGTTCAGGAAATTACGTTACAAAATGAATAGCTCCTGTAATTCGTGGTAAAAGTTTATTATTATAATGTACGAGTAACTTATTTGTTACCTTAACACGGAAAACTTTGCTTTCCATGAAATATAACAGCTTTTATATAAATTCCTCACGCGAGTAATTTGTGGAGGGCTATAAACAATGTACAAACTTCACCTAAACACTAACTAGGTGAATAGTTCTAGTGTAATTTATACAACTATTAAAATTACAACGTTGGTTTATGTAATTATCTAACTTTATGTTATTTTAGCGCTTGATAGTAGAAGCTATGTATAACTAGGCCCCTTTATTTAAGGGTGGACAGTTATTTTTTATTTGCAGAAAACGGATACACTCTGTATTACACAATTTGTAGTCTGTTAATGAAATTAATTTGTCACATTTTACTCTTCACGTCATTAACATAATTATGGATTCTTATTAGTCAGTCAAAAATAAAAACGTTTAAAATTTTTACTTGTAAGTTTTAATTTGTTTGTCTACAAATTAAGTGCTTACTATATACCTATTTTATATTACTGAAACAATGCTACGCTAACTGCATTTCTGTATATATCAAAAATGTTCTCTAAACATTTGCTTATCATTAGGGAATCCGTATGGCCGTATTTACCTGCTTATTCCATAAAAAAATCAAACTTAAAATATATGAAAGACTAAAACGAATCGACTTCAATCTAGTGAATTTGAAATCCGAAACGCAATCACGCAATAAATTCTGATTTAAATAGTTACTTTCTCTTATAAATTGTTTAAGAACACTTTGAGTCTAGATGGCTAGTTTGACTTAATCTGAATATCAAAAAGTTTTCGCGATACACTCCGTAGTTTATCTACAAAAGATGAAGTCGGGCTTACACTTTTAAGAACTTTTATCTAAGTATATAATACATTTATTTGATTTTATTCTGTTCCCATTTTACCAGTAAGGTGATTATTATTGCAAAATACACTTTATTTTTATATAATACAAAGTTTAGAATGAGATGCAGCCAATATAATCAATACTTCCTCGCTATTGAACTTCTTTGTTGACAGTACTATGATGCTTAGAATATTGAGATAACTCTAGAACCAGGTCACTTTGAGTTCTGTTATACCGCAATCAGTATAAATGGTTTTCAAAAGTTACACGATCCTTTGTAGAAGTTAGATAACTAAGTACGTGTTCCTAGCTATCAGTGTGTTCTATAAATCTATACTAATATTATAAAGCTGAAGAGTTAGTTTTTTTGTATCCCCGAAACTACTGGTCCGATTTGAAAAATTCTATCTGTGTTGGATAGCACGATTAATAGGCGCCGAGCAGAGCGAGTGAAACCGCGCGGATGTAGCTAGTTTTTTATATGTGTGTATGTATATTGGTATTATGTAGGTGTGTTAATGTTATGACGATGATAAATTCAGGTGAAAAGTTATTTTATTATTATATCAAAACCATAAACTAAGAACAAATTCGCCATTGAAGTAATATTCAATCCATAAAAACAGGATAATACCCAATTATTATTTTTTACATAGGACTGCTTTCATAAGTTTCAGCTGAGGGCAAGGAAAAGTCGCTGCTAATAGAAGTGATTTATATGGATACGAGACAAAATATCGCGTGGCACGATGCGTGAAATCAGAAGTCATTCATGCCATGTGTTCCTTCTCGAAAATTCCGTTTTCCCGGGTTTCGTGCGGTATTTAAATGTGAGTTATTTGATCGTTATTTGTAAGCGATTTGTATGCGATCTTCGCGCCATGATTGTTAGGAATCGGAGCGCTAAAGGATAATAAATCAGAGACTTTTTCGTCGTTTTATTATTTTCTGCTGTACTTGGAAATATTTACTTATGCTGATGCGTATAGAACAGCAAAAAGTGTAATAAGTTGCTCTTCGAGGGAAAAGTCAGAGTATGATGAGTTGGATTCTGTATCATATGTGGTACATACTTATACTTCTGTATATTTGAGCTGTGGAAGTAGAAAGGCTTAGCAGTAAAAAATCACATGAATATGGTGTATTATACCTTAGTATAATCGTGAGCATAAAGCCCACTAAATTAGGTATGAAGATTTTATTTCCAAGGTACCTATACTCATCATCATAACATCACGCCTTTTATCCCGAAGGGATAGGCTAAGGTGTAAATTATGCCACTGTACAATGTAACACCCACTTTTCACTATTTATATTATGAGTCCCATGTAATAGGGGGTGAGCCTATTGCCATATACCGGGCACAATTCTAGACTCCGTGCTACTACTGTGAATGTTTTGAAAAACCCAGTAATGCTTTGCCCGACCCGGGAATCGAACCCGAGACCCCTTGCCCGGCAGTCGCACTTGCGACCACTCGGCCAATGAGGCAGTCACCTTTATGCCAATGAGTACCTATATACTATCGAAGTTATCAAAATTTTGTATTCATCACACACTTAAAATGAGATGATTATATTCAGAATTGCAATAACGTAGGCAATGCTTAATAACAGTTATTTGCAAATCAGTAATTGAATAATATATTCAACCGAGCGATTTTTATCGCTGAATGACAACGTTAATTACTGATAATTGCTTGCTAATTACACCACACTGAATGGTATTACTGCGTCGTAGCAAGTTTTGTATTGGCTTCAGAAATTGGTACTCATACTGTTTACTTGGCGAATATTATTCGGCTTATTACAGGAGTTGATTTAGATGATTTGTTTGTCGAATTAGAATTTTTTAAGTATTCATTTAGACAAATGTTAGGTAGGTTATTTCGAAACGAAATCTGTAATTATTATATGCGATACCAATTTTTATGTCATACTTCTGTGTCATTTTCTCCAATTATTAAGGAGTTACGAAACAATTCGAATCTGTCATTAGTTCGAAATCGAAAGCAAGAAAAAGAATATTAATGTTACATAAGACTTTTTAATAAAAGTCTTACGTATTATATATAATATTTTGCTTTATATTATATTATAAAGCAACAAAAATCTATATCCAATAACCCGATTATCTTCAACGAAGTGATCTAATCAGAAGCTTTGAGCACACTTCAAAGGACTTAATAGGGATCCTACGCGTCCACGTGTAACTAGAAATCAATCATGAACTGATAAAACTTGCCTCCATAAATCTCCCATCTTTGCACTTTAATAAGAGAATAATTATAGAGAACAAACTTTTACCTGCGGCTTGACTCGCAATGAAAAGATAGCTTATATGTACTTTTCCGTACAACAACCTATAAGTGGCCACTGCTGACCAAAGGCCTCTTCTCACACGGAGAAGGTTTGAGCATTAATCACTACGCTTGCTCAATGCGGGTTGACAATTTGAAGTCCAGGTCTCCTTACGATGTTTTCCTTCACCGTTTGTCAGTGATGACTAAATAATCTTTGAAAGTACATATAAGTCGGAAAACGTCACACTGGTACTTTCTGTTGGTAGGTTTTGAACCCACAACGCCTCGTACATGAGAAGCGGGCGTCTTAAACGTCTGAACCACCACGACATTTTCTCAATGTGGATAGGCAAAATTTCAAAAATATTGGTCGAGTAGATAAAAGGTAAAGAGGTAAATAAACAAACTTACTGTCGAAATTGAAACCCAACAAAATTCGTTGAATTTTGTTGGGTTCGTACCTATAGTCCTAATCCCAATAATACAATACATAGTAAACTAAAGGTAAAACGAAAATAGCTCTTTCGTAGTGGTTTCATAGAATGTGAGGAAACTGCGGTCATGTATTGTGAGCTAAAAATAGCTTAGTGTGTGTGTGAAATAATGTACGAAGGTGGGATAAGTTATACCCCCTCTCTTAACCACCCTATGCTGACGTAGAACGCAACTAAGGGATCATTTGAAGAGGTTACATAGCAGCATCTTACGTGGAATATCTTGTTTACAACCTTTTTTGTTAGTCGTCGCCATTTTGAATTTACGTCACATCTCTTTTTAGATGGCGGTGCCAAATTGTGTTTGGAACACGGTGGTGTTGTGGTATTATTATAGCTATGTAACCTTTTGAGGGTTATAAATAAATAGAAACTTGGGATAAGGTTCATTATAGGTTAAGAGTCAAATAAAATATCTACAGTTTGCACTCAACATTAGTACTTTGAATAGATTTTGCTTGCTTTAGAATTTCGTCCATGGATGTAATCACTTGCCATCGGAAGCCACCTGTTTGTTTGTTTGCAGATAAAACATGTAGGATTTGTATTTGTACCCTGTTTATAAATTTCCATTTACATACGTATGTATGAGGACCAATAAACATAACACAGAAAAGTTCATAATTTTAGAACTTTCTAGAAAAATATAAATTAATTTTCACAGACTAGACATAAATCAAGCTTGTTTAAAAAATATGAAGGTCGGGAGCTAACTGCTTTTACCTTCACTAGATCAAGTTCCTAAACCAGGTCAGGAGATTATTTTATCAAATATAAAACGTCAGATTACCCTCTCATCGTATTTTATATTGTTTGACCCTTAATTTATGATTTGAAATACAGTTCGTCCGTAATTGGGTTCATGAAAAAAGAGGTCATAAGGATAAGCTATTATTTTAGTTAGTGTATTTATTTATCGAGGAAACCTAATTCGTTTGGTAGAATTATTATTGTTAGTGGACTGTTATAAGCGGATTATGATAATAATGGTTTATTATACCTTTTTTATTATTTAATAATTTGAAATTGGAAATGTAATTTTTTGTCATTATAATATTATTGCCATATCATTATGTACACTTATCAGTACTAGATTGAATGGACTGTACTGTATTAACTGCCTCAGTTGTTGGAGGACTTGGCTTAACCACAGATGGTTAAGCTCAAGTCTTCATCAACAGCCTATAAATGCCCACTGCTGAGCAAAGCCTCTTCTCGCACGGAGAAGATTTGAGCATTAATCACCACGCTTGCTCATTGCGGGTAGGCGATTTCAAATTTCAAACTTATAATTAGAAATTATAAGCCCAGGTTTCCTCACGGTGTTTTTCTTCACCGTTTGTCAGTGGTGTCTAAATAATCTTGGAAAGTACGTATAACTCGGAAGAAGTCACATTGGTACCTGCCGTTGGTCGGTTTCGAACCCGCACCCTCATGCATGAGAAGCGGGCTTCTTAAACCTCTGGGCGACCACGACACTAGCTCAAGTCTTATTTTCGTAATTTTGTTTATGTATTATAGTAATAGTCACCTACGCTACGTTGAGATAGTAACGAAGAAGAATTATTATAATACCAGCTTCTTTGACGCCTAAAAATTCAGTATTACTGTATTTGTTATAATACAAATACTTTTTAAAAACGAAATACAACAAACCTTGGCAGCCCATATCATTTAGAACCGATCACTCATCCTCTCATCCATGATCGATCACTTTGAAGGCGGAATTGGGTTAATGATTAAATATAAACATATTTGTGTCAGGCAAATAACTTATTTACACGCACATACACACAGATACGGTAACAATAATTAAAGCGTTCAGCGTTCAACTCAATCAATTTGAAGCTTCCCGGATGTACATATATATTTAATTTATGTGTTTGAGATTTATTGATGTCGGTTGTTTAATAGGTTGCGGTGAACTTGAGTAAAATTACTGTTATGAATTATTTTTTTTTTTGATGGACAATTTGTTTTATTGCATAGGCCGGTAAACGAGCAGACGGATCACCTGATGGTAAACAATCGGCGTCGCCCATCTGAAACACCAAGGTGTTACACTTGTAACACCTTGGTGGCCGGTAACGCACTTGCGTTACCGGCCTTTTAGGAATTGGGAATTTGAGGATTCTGGAGGATTCGGTGATTGACGAGACTGGGGAGGGGGGTAATTGGGCCTCAGGTAACCTCACTCACACGACGAAACACAACGCAAGCGTTATTTCACGTCGGTTTTCTGTGAGGCCGTGGTATGACTCCGGTCGAGCAGGCCCATTCGTGCCGAAGTATGGCTCTCCCACGCTTAAAATAAATATAATGTAGTATAAATGTATTGAGGTACTTTTAGTATTATACTCATATCGTATACTTCTTATACTAGCTGAAGAGTTTGTTTGTTTGAACGCACTTATTTCCGAAACTACTGCTGCGGTTTGAAAAATTATTTTTGTGTTGCATAGTCCATTTGTCGGGAAAAGCTATAGGTTATAGAACAGCACGATACGATCAATAGGAGCCAAGCAGAGCAGGTGAAACCGTTCAGAGGCCATAGTACGTTCGGTTCGGCACCCTGATTGGCCGGCGCCAATGAACCAACCAATCAGAGCGCCGAACGCGGTCTCATTTCGAATACTTTAAACGTAAAACAAACTCGTATTAAGGCCTCGGAAGTAAGAAATACAATTAACGTATAGCACTTTGTTATGCTAGTCACTTAAACTACCCAAAACCCATGTGTAGTACCTACCAAAGTCTCGGTCAAACTTATGTCAATATTATAAGACTAATATTAAGGTCTACATCACTAAAATTAAATATTAAAAAATATGTATGGTTTTAGTTTTCGGGAGAAGTATCAATGAGTAATACCTAATACTAAGTAATTACTTATTTCTAACAAACATCACGCCTTTTATCCCCGATGAGGAAGGCAGAAGTGCACAATTCCAGGCTCCGTGCTACTACTGAGAATTTTTAATAACCGAGTAATACTTTGCGCGACCCGGGAATCGAACCCGAGACCCCTTGCCCGGCAGTCGCACTTAAGTCTCAGCATTAATATCTGCAATCACCTCTGTTAAAATAGGTATAGATGCTCAGCATTCTTCAGCTTGTATAAAAAGTATGAAATACATTCTATGAAATACATATTTAGTAGTAGTCTAGTTACCCCAAATAAAATTACAAATTCATCCTCTAGTTTAGCAATAATGTGCAGAAATAGGACAGAAACTAATTTATACTCGTGTTACAGCGGAGTCTGGCAAGGAGGGTGAGATGAACAGCGAACACGTGGAATATCACCGACTAGGTAAGTAACAGACTGCCAACATTAATTGTATAAGTGCTCCGATGCTAATCCGATAACAATGCGAAATGTATAATTGAATAATACTTCTGTTTTAACGGTTAGATTTAGTGACTTAGAATTGTTCTGTGAAAAGAATATATATGTTTTGTAGGAGATAGATTTCGACTGGAAACTACTACAAGGCCTGAAGTTCGATGGCCGTGTTAAACAAAATATTGATTTGTCAGATCATTATTGACTTTATTTACACCACCATTTGTGATATTTTAATGTCATCGAAATCTGATCCTTACTGATCATCATCAACAACTGTAAATGCCCACTGCTCAGCAAAGCCTCTTCGCACACAGAGAAGGTTTGAGCATTAATCATCACGCTTGCTCAATGCGGATTGGCGATTTCAAACTTATAATAAGAAATTATAAGCCCAGGTTTCCTCACGATTTTTTCCTTCACCGTTTGTCAGAGGTGTCTAGATGATCTTGGAAAGTACCTACATATAACTCGGAAAAAGTCACATTGGTACTTGCCGTTGGTAGGTCCATACTGATAAGTATACCTAATTAAAATTTGACAATATCAACATTGATGGTCAATATACCTTTTCAAAAGCCACATGTTGATACATTAAACGTGTTTACGGGACGCGCCCACCAAGTAACCCAATGACACGCTCGTTATCACGCTAGTGAGCTAAAAGCGATATTATCGCGGGACTAGATAACTAGGCACTGGCCACTAATAGCTGGCTATCTACACTAAAACACTGCCACCTCAGTCACCAGGTTTTAGGTAACACCGGGAATTTGCCAGGGGAAATTGAACTTTATGATGCAATAACAAAACATAGATAATGTTTCAGTCAGAAAACTCTTGTCAGAGTTATGTCATAATAAGATACATTTTTACTTATTTATGTTATTAATTTAACTCGTCGAGTACCGGTTTTGTAGACACAATTATAGAACAATAGGTTGCGGTCACCGGTGACCGCTTGGTGTTTGACAGTTTAAATGGTAAAGACAGCGTACTATTTTTTGGCACCGATTGCTTCACCTTATCTACCACTGCAATTCCAGTAAACCTGGTTACCACTAGGTACCAGGTCCGTTTATTCTGGATATACATTGAGAGCTAACTTACAGTTGAACATCAGTATCGGGCACTATTTTTAGATTCTGTGCTACATCTACTTAACACTGAAAACATCTTTCTCAGATTATGAATAAGTATAACATTAAACAATTCAGTTTCGAAATCTACGTCTATTTATTCTAGCACTGGAAGCCTACGCTTTATAATTTCTATCCCCACAACGAAGCTAGATGCACAACTAAGTACCTACATCAAAGATAACGATCGATTCTGTTACATTCCAGCTGATATTCATTTATTCATAACTTAGGTTCTCTTTGGAGATATAACACCTCTTTTATTCCCCAAAACTACATTTGTACTTCTGTATACCCAGAAGTACAAATGTAGCAAACTCTCTTAGTATAGAAGACGCTTCTGTTGCCGTACATCGAGCATAGTGCCAAATATTTACTAATAAATTATAAATAGAAAAACCCAATAATTATATTTGCCCGAACGATTGCTGAGCGTCACTTTCTTCACAGTTTGGACCACATGAACAACGTCGTAGTGTTATTGTCTCTGTTAGTAGGTTACAGTAATCGTTACTTATTTTATGTTATGTGAAACAGATGCTGTACAAGCGAATGGTGAGCTGGTCTCAAGGCTAGAACAGCATGCGTCAGCTGATGCTGTTGGAAGTGAGAAACCTCATGTCCATGCTGAAGCGCAGCTCGATGTACCATCTGAAGGTGTTCATCGAGTGTTAGTCCAAGAAGGCAGTCATGTCAGCGTACACGATGCTTCTGCTGTCACAACTCCAGCTAATGAAGAGGTTACTACTAAGGTAAGTCAAGTTTTTGAAGGGATAGTCCAAAATCTTGGATAGAAACACTGACTAAACCTAGTTATTTAATATTGTTATTAAGTTATTGCAATAGAAGCAGTAGTAAAACGGAAATAATTGTGTCGTTTTGGCACAGGACATTTTTTGAGGGGGAAAATCATCTAATGACTTCTCCCGCCTGGGCGAGGCGGCAGGGACTGTCAGACTCTTACTAAAAACCATCCCTTTCCTACTCCTGCACTTCGAGCCGGAGCCCCGATAACATTTGTACGCTGCCCGTGGCATATTACACAAAGTACCTAATATGTACATCATAACAAAATTTAAAATAGAAATATATCACTTAAGGTCAAGCTACGACGTATATAAAAACAATATAATCAACGCAAAATTATTTATATCATAGACCGATATAGACAACTTTCCTTTTACCAACATATTCATTGCCTCGAGACTACAATCGATGAATTTCGAACAAAGAGAATATGGGCACTTAATGCAAATATACCCACATACTCGTTAGCCTCTAGAACACAGTAAAACGAGGATTGTAAGCATTACCTACCTATGCAGATATCGTTGCCGATAACCAAACTGAATCGTCGCAGAAAAAGCAAGCGGCCAATATAAAACGGGGTCAAGCAAACCAGCCTAGTCTGAAAAAGGACAAGCATGACAATGAGGGCTTCATTAAGGTAGAAAGGAAGAAGAAGCCTCTTTGCCGCAACCAGTGCGGTACCGCGCTGGCAGGACCCAACATGCTGCTGCGTCCAGCTACACCCACGACGCTGCTGTACGTGTCCCGACTGCATCACTCCACGAAGGCAGAGGATGTCGTGGAGTATTTGCGAGTGAAGACGAACTGGATCTTGAGAGTAGAGAAGTTGAAGTCGCGCCACAATATTAACTTCAAGTCGTTCGTGGTGCGGGTTCCAACACATGATCTTGAAACCTTTCTCAAGGAACAGTTTTGGCCGAAGGGTATCGTGTATCGGCGTTTCCGTGGCCGACTACGTGATACCAGTCAGCGAAACACGACGCCGTCTCTTCGTGTGCAATAATTATAATTATGAGTTTTGTTATTGTATATCTATTAGTTTATTGATGTTTAAATTTTTTGGTATTTGTAATTTTTTAGTTTTGTATTGTATTTTTATTTGTGTATTATATTTTATATGGGCCACAGTTGCCTGAAATAAAGAAATAAATAAATAAAAAAATTACAATGGATCTTCGTAGGTACCCTAGATCTATTGTGTTCCAGACTGAAAATAAAAGTTTATTGGAAAACGATACCTTTTCTCTAGATACTGCACTTAGATCGTTATTATTGTATAATGAATCTTAATTGTGTGTTATTTACAAGTGTCATTTGAATAGCAACATACATTGCAATCTAATTGATTTAAAATTTATAGGAATCGAACTAAATAACATCAACTTTATAAATATTCGATAAAAAGTTTGAATATTATTTTCAAGTTAATGTTAGTCATTTGGTCTTTCATTGGTTCAATATAGGTTACTGACATCAAAATAACAGATATGCGAACTAATTGTTTCAATGACTATTCAAAGACACTCGCCTTCTTTCACGTCGATATAAAATGAACTAGATATAGTACAACCACCCGTATCGCAATAAAGAGAATTGAACACCCACACCGCCATGTCGAATATATTGGCCGTGTTTCCTCACCATTTATCACTCCGTTCAAATATCTTTCGATCGTTTTCAACTAAATTGCGATGCGAAGGAATTGACAAAAATAAAAGAGGAACGACCTCCTTCAATACCACGAACTTTTATTCTACAGTGTGAACAAATTCAATAAAAACATCAACAGAATGTGAGGACGATGTGTTTTCTAAGAAAATAGACAGGTCTTTGTCACACCTACACTGTATTTTTACAATCTTCAATGTTCAGGTTCTTAGAATTTCGTAATAAAACACAATACTTGAACGTTTAAAAAAAAGGTTTAAAAAAAATACATTTTGTATTCTACATTCAATTCTAATTGCCAATCTTATTTCAACAATAAAATAGCCATTGTTCCAAAAAACGCAACAAGAGTTCACATTGTGTGGCACGGGCATTTGATGCTACTTTGTCCGCGCCACACATAAAATATGAACAAACAATTTGCACGTGTCAAAGTCAAAATCATTTATTCAAATTAGACCAGGAAGGCACTTTTGAACGTCAAAACAAAATATTTAAATATTAAATAATAAGAAAAATTGTCAGTTTGTAGGTCAGTCCTCTAGTGAAGCTATTTGCTAGTTCCAAAGTGTAGATTCCTATGGAGAAGAACGAGCAAGAAACTATTTTTTAATCAGGTTTACAATACAATTTTTGGTTACATTCTTTCGTTGAGTTCAATTATGTGAGAACATTTTTAGGGCATATTTAGTCCAGGAGACGGAAAAAGAAAATAACCTTGAGGACAACAAATTGAATACAGTCTGGAGCTAACCAGTCCCATTTGACAGCGCCCGTTCACAGACATGACACGTACACCAGCACTGCCCAACCCAACCATGTTGTAGGGAATCGAGCAATCCACTGCCCGTGCCACTTCCAATGAGACTTTTGAGTGAGCATGACAACTCCAAGCTGACACAAATGTGTTTTACTAGTCTAATTTAATTTTGTTAGTTTCAGGGCTCTCACATTTACATACAATAAATGTACATACGTGCACATTAAAACAACACAGGATGTATTTTTTCTCAGGTGTTCCATGGGGCTGCTCGACTAGTGCAACCTGGACAGGCTACGAATGTACCAACTGGTCCCCACACTGCTGTTCGAAGAGCTTTCAACGCGGATATCACCAAGGAGACGAAAAATAATGTAAGATATGTTTTTTTCTCCGATGGATTATTTCTTTGTTTTTGTCTTTCTGTTGTTTTGTACTTGTATGTTTAATTTCCTAATGTAATCTGTTTATATAGTAGAATAAAGCATATATCTATCTACTGATCTATTTATCTGTCTGGCAGGTAATATTTTGTGGTAATTTATTTGAAGTCTTTATTTAAATGGATACCAGAAATTTCTACTAATACTTAGACACTCAATTCTTAAATACTGTAGGAACGAAATTTTTTACCTTTAGACGCACTCGCATTTCGATTCAAATTGTCTTCATTTTTATTTGCTTTCATTTCATTGTAATAGAAATTCCAATGACAAATCATTCAATAACAAATTACATAAAATGTATGGGCCCCCGTTGTGCAAGTTGCACGTGTATCCATGTTATCAAAGGATGCTTATTACCCTGTAATTTGTTATTTGCCCTTACTTGCTTCAATGTACTTAGATTTACTTATTTTGTTTTTCATTTATCCTGTAACAGCGTAGCGTTGGTATTTCGATCCAATAAGGGGATTTAAGTATTTACGGAGGATTGTTCAGGCGCGTGTAAGGAGTTAAGAACTCTTTTTAGTTTGGAATAAAAAAAAATAGAACAAAAGAGACTATTTCTATACTGATTGTATTATGGTACTACTGCAGCTGTATAGCTGATACTTGCTTTGAATTATTTACTAGATACTACGAGTAACATTTTTCTCCAGTCAATCTTTTACGTAAACCAAAATGTTTATTACGAATAATTTCATTAAAATTATGACAATATAAAAAGAAGGAAATGTGCCTTGCATGCGCACTTTACTTAGCTTTTTATAGGGAGTCGTAAATTTTAACATGGAATGTCATAAAACTGCTTAAGGTAGAATTTCTAAAGTATCTACCTACTTAGTTAATCGAATATTTAGACAAGTACAAGTACTGACTGCGATGTCTCAGATTCCATTATAGAGACGACAAAGTTATTAGATACATCATTGTTACTTCCCATATAATATAGTAGACAAAAATGACATTTTACTATGCTATGCCATTTTATGATAACATTATATCTGTCTTTTGTCATACAGATGGACCACTATGCTGCTTACTCTGGTGTCCAGTACTCGCCGCTGGATATGGCGGAGTACGTCTTCTGGACTGGTGATGAACGAGGAGTTACCACTGCTATTGAAACCTTCCTTCAGGAGGGAATGGTGAGTTTCAGTAATTATTTAGATGACTTTAAAAAATAGGCCGAAATAATTACACCGTGGTCCGCGGTGTAATATGCACATGGATTCATATGGGGTACATTGAAAATATAGTATAATGCTGAAGTATTTTTGATTGAATCAAAATCAGGTGATCCGTCTGCTCGTTTGCCTCCTATTCCATAAAAAAAGTCAGTATGTAATTCAGTGTCAGTAATATTAAAAGGAAAACAACACGATTACAAGCTATGTACAATATTATTTTAATTATTTACACCAGTGTATTGTTTTCAGATGACAAAGGAAGATGCAATTGCCTTCCTACAGGAGATCAAATTCAACATTGATTACTTGCGGGCACACTACTCCCAGAACTTGAAGGCGGCTGAAGAAAGTGCACAGCAGGAGAAATTAAGGAACATGCTGATTGAACAGGCTGAGGCAAAGGTAAATGGCAGCTATAATAAAAACCAACTTTAATAAATAAAATTAAAAGTACCTTGAACCGATGAACATGCATGAAAAGACTTATGACTGTTGATGAAGCGAAACATCTATGTAAGAAGAGTCAGCTATGCTATGTAAGAAGAGAAGAGAAAACGGCTATGTAAGAGTCTCTGCCTATCCCCATGAGAGATAGACGTCAGGTTATGTATGTATGTAAGTTTTTTAGAGTAGTACCTACAGTTAGCCATTTTATTTATCACTATTGACTGCATGGGAGATGAGAAGATGCATAGGATACCTATTTCAGAATTACTCCTTGACACCAGAAAAAGTCAATGGGTAAAAGTGAAATAACACAATTACCTATATTATAGTAGATTATAATGAAATCGTTACCAAATGTAAACAGCGTTGGGTTTATTTAGGTTGTACAAGTAAAGACATTTATAACTTTCGTTGTGTAACGATATATCTTTCTGACACGTTTACGACTACCTTAAGGTCAAAACCCAATGTCATGTTTCGTACAAAATTTACTTAAATCAATTCTTTTTTTTGTGTCAAACATAAGGCTGCCCTATTCATACTTCCAGGATGTAGGGACACTCTGTATTTACCTGCCGTAAAAAGGCGTATGTAATAAACGGTTAAACTTAAAACGAAATCCAAAAACAAACAAGCGCTAAAAATATTCTATCTATTTATTATTCGGACTGTTCCTTTTCAGAAGTCAAAGTTTGTATACTTAAAATTCCCTTGACACCTTACTAAAGCCGTGAAAAGTTGAGCAATCTTTAATTAAAATGACATCCTGCAAAGAAAAGAGTTTGTGTTTTGTATATTTTAAATCAATGTGATTCGATGCAGTCTGAACTCTCATGACCCGACGTTAATCTGAAGCTAATGGAACGTGTCGCATTAGAAGATGAGGCACGTGTCTGCCTACAGGGTACACGATACAGGGGGCGTATTACAATTCTCCAAAACAAAATTTCGTTATAGTGTAAAATAATTTTAATTTCTGACTCTACTCTCTAATATAGTCTAACACCAATAAATGATGGAAAACTGAAGTGTACTGTCTGACAGTGAATATTCGTTCAATAACAAAATTTCGGTTCAGAGAATTATGTAGTAGGCCCCTGTTTTGATCCGATCTCTGTTGACTTTAAAGTCACTTTGCCGTCGTCACGTGTTTGAGTCGATTCGTAACAAACGAGTTATTGGGCTTCGTCTGCCAAACACTCGAATTGTTGCGGTAACAAAGTTTTCCCCGGTTTGGGAAAGTTCGTTACCTACTCGGTAAATCAGAGTAGCTACTTGCGTTCATTTTGAGGTGACTTTGTGTATCGTAAAATTTTAGTCAGTTTATATCTGTAATCAATACATAGTATAAAACAAAGTCGCTTTCGCTGTATGTCCGTATGTATGCTTAGATCTTTAAAACTACGCAACGGATTTTGATGCGGTTTTTTTTAATAGATCGAGTGATTCTTAAGGAAGGTTTGTATGTATATACATATTGCACCCGTGCGAATCCGGGGCGGGTCGCTAGTTATACTATATAATGTAGTAGGTAATGAAATGGTTACGATTTGTATTATAAAGATATTTAAATGATTCAACTGTAGAATTCAAATCAAACACCTTTTGAAAATTAATTTTCGAAACTAAAGAGGCAACTGAACTATTTTACTCGCAAACAATATTCGTTAATTCATATAAACGTTCATTATTTTCGCGTAAAACCCATTAGATTACACATAAATCATGTCATTTATTGAACTATACGGAGTAAACTTGTTTTTATTACTCTCTGATTAAAATGAATGGCGTAAATGTTATTGTGCGTTTTATTAAAACACGGCTACATAGTCGGGGTGACACGAGCCACGTTTATTTATAGCCTTAAGCTCAAAAAGTGTAATTAAATGTCACTCAACGCTTTGCGGTAGAACAAAGTGCCGAGAAAAACGACGAAAAAGGCCACAACCATGATAAAAGTTATGTGGGTGGATCCCTCTCTGGAATACTTAGTACAAAGCAAATTGTTTCTAAATTACAATAGACTTATTGAATACGATAGTCTAGTAATATAACATTTTAGATATCAAAATTAATTAAATTTATTTTTAAAGTAATTTTCTATCACTCTTTTGACTAGCTACATTTTCTCACGTACCAGTTGTAGCACTGTACTACGAAAGTACTACGACGCGTAGCACCTGGCTACGAGGTGTTAACGGTGTATAAATTTCTTCGAAATCAAAAATGATGTTAATTATACGATATTCCAAATGGTATTATTAATATAATTAGTATTATTTGTATAATTTCAAATTTTTTTAATAGGCTGATCGGTATTATGTCATAACTACTACAATAAATTCTTATTATCAGACCAGAACGCCATATTCTGTCATAAACTTTTGTTATCGGAATTAACGGTAAAATTAACTAGCATCCAATAAAGGAGTTCATTTAGTTCTCACGTCGTTTCAGTACGTAATACTCGGTTTAATGTATCTATTAGACCCATGTGTCACATTGGTTATTCGCTGAGTGTTAATGAATCTTTAGGGTTCATAAAATTGTTTGTGATATCGTAAAGTATATAAATAGATTTATGTTGTTTACATGTTTATAATAATATGTTCAGTAATCAACATAGATTATGTAACGACAACATGTTGATACATTATGTATTTTGTTTATGTTGGTACCATTGTAGACTGTTTTGTTAGTTTAGTGATCGAAGTTGCAACACGTGACAACATCAGAGAACCTATGAGAGTAGAGCTTAGTAAACTTACTCAGCTTGCTTGCTTGCTTAACTAAGCAATGCTGCTTAGCTTAGCAAGTTAAGAAATGGACCTTTTGACAAAAGATTGTGTGAATCCCGAAGATCATTATAAACAATTAGGTATGAAGAGATCATACGCTATCATTGGGTGACTTTGTTTTTAGTTTTAGATATTCTCCTCATAGGATTACCAATAAGAGAAAAGTTTCTTACCTTAGACTTTTATCACGTATCTTGTTTTCATTCCAGGAATACCAATACCGTAGCCCAGCGCTCCAGTCGTTCCCATTCGGTAGCAGCCCTGACATCATTCGATCAATCGCCAACAAGAACTGGGAGTTAAGCAACAACCTGTCGCCCGTGCCAGCCCTACCTGTCAGCAGTGAACTAAGGCCTGAAGCCATCAAGAGGACTTACGATCCTATGTTGACTAATAGCATGCGTGAGTACATATGCTTATAAACAAAGAAGCTGAATAAAATGTAGGAATATGAAAGATAAACCGAAAAGGAAATGTGAAGTGATGATTGGGTACTAAATGATGGGAAGAACGGACAGTATGTTTTTTTATGTGTAAGCTGGTAAACGAGCAGACGGATCACCGGATGGTAAGCAATCGGCTTTACAGAGGAAGAACACCATAGGTGTTACAATTGCGTTACTGGCCTTTTGGGATTAGGAATTTGAGGATTGTTGGGGATTCAGAGATTGAGAAGAAGCGGGGAGGGGTAATTGGGCCTCCAGTAACCTCACTCACACGACGAAACACAACGCAAGCGTTGTTTCATGTCGGTTTTCTGTTAGACCGTGGTATCACACCGGTCGAGACGGCCAATTCGGGCCGAAGCATGGCTCTTCCTCACTTAAAAATGGTGTTATGGATTATGCGCCGTTAATAACACGTTAACCACCGGTGTAAGTCAGCAGTGAACTACGTTAGCGGAGTATTTGCCTTTAACAGTTCACTGTCGGTAGTCAGAGGTTTAAGAAGGTAACTTGGGATAAAGATAGGAAGTAGAGTATATACATACGTATAACTGCTCAATACAGTAATTATGTTTGCCTACGTACGTACATACATGTACACAATGACGTAAAATATATCTTAAAGATTTAAAACTTCTTTTACTTTACTTTCTGTTCTTGCGATCTTAGCGATTCGATCATGTACAAAGATAAAGTCAAGTTCCTCAAAACATATTGTCTCATGTACCTAGATCTACGTTCCGCGGCATACCACGGGTTAATCATTGTCCATTGTGTTAAGTATCCTAAATAATATCTACATTTTTAGTGCCAGGAGTACCAGAGTACGAGCGTGAACCCCAGGCCTTCCCTGATGAAGAATATGAAGAGATTATGGACAAACTGAAGCCTACAAACATTCCTTACAATGAATACACGCTTGAGGAGATTATCTATCAGCTGGCTAAGGTAACTACATTTTTATAGCTCACTGATTGAGTCGGGTCAACCTCTACCAACATGATCTATGTGTGTGAAACGCCAAACAAAAATAGAACAGGAAAATAAATTCGATTGTATAAGTAGTTGATTACATATGTTTGCTGCACTGGCGCTGCACGCCTGAAGTAACCTTTTCAAACGTTTGATTTCATAATATTGAGATTGAAATCGAATAGTCTTTGAAAACCATGCAATTTGCACCTTTTTAAACAGCATAACATGGCTCCATAATTTCCAGATGATGTTCTCCCAGTCCTTGTCCCGAGACCCAGCTTCAGCTCGATCAGCCACACGACGCTTCATGTCTTTCCTAGAAGTTCAGGCAGAAAGGGGACAACTATCGCGCACCATTGAGAAGAAAGTGCTTGGTATGTTTATAATGAGTACAGATACTTATAATACAAAAACTGCGAAGATAGTCGGCCTATTTCTAAGTTCTAACCATACCATAAAGTCCCATAATAATCAGATTTCTTTGTAATTTCAGTATAAAATAATGAAAGACTTTTATTATAAAGTGCAAAAAGTTGGTTTTATTAGGCTTAATTAAATCACCCATTAAATGTTCTATACCCTCTATTCATATAAAAAAATTTAAACTTTGTAATCGTAAAGTGGGAATATTTCGGTTACATTTTGTGATTATTTCCTACTGTCTTGATAACTAAGTTTTTTTAAAGCTTTCTTGGTAATAACGTTCCTTTTTTATGTTACAGACTTGATGATTGCGGCTCTGACGGACACAATAAGCGACCATCCAGAACTGCTGTCCTCTCGCGACTCCATGGCGCCCAATACACCCAATAGGCAAACATTTTATCCATTTACTTTAGAATAAAGCCGTAGTGGACATACACATTAGCACACACGAGAAAAATGCAAAAATCCGCGACGAAGTAAGTCCCTAATAAAAGCGATTTACAGCCAGCACCTGTAGCCAAATGTCATTTAGCACTTTAGAGTAGAAAACTAAATTATATTATGGAATTGACGTAAATTTTGACACTTGTCAGTGTTCCACATACATTTAGTTTTCCACTCTCTCTGTAGACAAGCTCTATAGTGGCGTTTGGTTAAAGGCACAGTATTCGATAATCTATCTATCTGTAAATTTGCTTACCTACTAGAAATAGAAATTCGACATATTTTTAAGGATCGTATTATGTCAACATTCTATGTGTACCTATAGCAAGTAAATCTACATATATGTAGGTTATTAAAACTGGCATTTATATTACAGCAATCGTTTATCAATAAGTTATAAGCTTTGCTGTTTGAAGACATACATAACATAACTTCACGCCTTTTATCCCCGAAGGGGTAGGCAGAGGCGCACATTAAGGCACTTAATGCCACTGTTCACTGTAAAACCCACTTTCCACTATTTTATGTTATGAGTCCCATTTGCCATATACCGGGCACATTTCCAGACTACTACTGAGATTTTTTTAAAACCCAGTAATAATTTGCCCGACCCGGGAATCGAACCCGAGATCCTTTACCCGGCAGTCGCGCTTGTGACCTCTCGGCCGACGAGTCAGTCAACATTTACTTGGAGACAAATGTAAATTAAAATACAGATAAGAAATTATTAAAACTATTGAATATTATCTAAGAAAAGTATGAAAATCATTACAACACTATACATATTCGTAAAGTTGTAAACGAGAGCGATTTCAATGTTATTAATTCCAGAAACCCATTTTCTCTTTATTTGTTTGTCTAGTTTAAATTTACCTAATCCTAAAACACGTAGTTGCACTATAATTTCACATTCAGTTTAACCTTTTTGAATATACCAGGATTTAAATTATTAAAGTATTTAATTTTATTTTCAGTCTAATGGGACGTTTCTACGAAACCAGAGCAGCAAAACCGAACCTTTCCCGAGAAATACTAACAACATACAAGAATGAGCTTCTAAAACCACAATCGCTGCATACTTTTAATTATCAAGAGACAATGTAAAGTGTATACCTATAACTACTAATAATTACGAATATATGACACTTTTCGCAGTGGTATATATTTTACAAGAACAACTTTACTTAACTAAAGAATAACTTTTACTTATTCTTTTTGGCAAAACTTTATAATAAGTACATACACATCATTTGATAAAAAATCACGATATTATTATATCTGTTTGTTACGTGTGTGCGGTATAAACAAATTGTAGCTACCGACATAAAATATTAGGAAGCATGCCATCTAGTGGTGATTTCCTATAAACTGCCGTAAAATATGGCGTCCAAAAATAAACAAAAACATTAAGTTTTATAGCTTTTGTACGCAGTGTCATATCTTCATAATTACAATAACGTAGTACCTAATTATTTATTCTATAATTATTGTAGAGATGTTTCTTAGATAATAATTCATTATTGTCCCATATTATTCTCTCTTCAATCTCCTTGCTATTCATGTTAACTTAAAAAAAAACAATAATTAAAAAGAAAAACTTGATCTCTAATACTTTTAAAAGGAGCCAATGTTGTTTTAAAATTAGTATTATAACCTTTAAGTGTTAAGGTAGGTAAGTAATGTGAAATAAATTTTATGGAATTTCAATCCCAACTTTGGAAAATTCTCTATTTCAGGTTGACTAAAAGTTGACCGAAAATTATTAGGTAAGGGTGTAAGACCATTAAATGTCATAATATAAGGAGAGAGAGGCCTATAATCGGCAGAGAATGTAAACCCGAGGATAATCTCTACCTTCCCTTCATGCCAGTCTAAAAGACTATTTTGAGTTACGTAGAATCGCGTCTAAATCCCTTATTGTATACCCCAAGAGACTTATTACAGTATCATAAATATAAAATCAATTAAATTATACAATCTAAGTACCTACATTATAAAGGCAAAATATCTGTTAGCTTTGCGTGTAAGAAATTCTCGTTTAGCTTGGTTTAGTAGATGAATATAAGAGCTAAATGTAAGATAATATCGAAATATATTTAAATAGTTAGTATAATATTTCTTCAATATTTTTCTACAAAACATTCTTCACCTTTCGTCGCCACGCTACGTACGGTATTGCTCAGTACCTAGTCCACAGGATTGGAAGTCTCAACATAACGACAAAAAACAATCACTTATTTGAAAATTGTATTAACCTTATCGTAAGGACTTAAGGTTCAAAATCTATAATTAAATTACGACTTAGCTACTAAAGTTTAGTTGGTATACCTAAATGTCGGGACTGCTGGCCATTTGTAAAATTATCCCAATATTAAAAAGCACTCGTTATCATTGCTGTTGCAATTCTATGATAATTATAAACAAGCGTGGTGATGAAATGGTATTAATCATAATGTGCAATTTTGTGTTCTAAAGGAGAATATAAATTTTAGTAAATACTGCACCAAAAACCACAGCAAATGCATATCACTAACATATCCAATTATAAATCATTTGATCAAATTTTAAACTACCGTACAAATTAGTACAAAGCAGAAAATACTATATGATGCATTTTATTATATCGTTTGGTAAATTAGGTAGGTATTGAATTATACAGGCATCATTAAAACATCGTAGATAGCAGGTTTATCGACATTTTAGTTCGATACGGCAAACACAAAATTGCACATTGAATAAAGAAAATCTTTAAACTTTCAGCTACATACCAAATCTTATATGTATAAGTGAATGTATGTATAGTTTAGAATTGTGACATTCTATTCAAAAATCACAAAAACACGTTATATAACTGTAAGACTTACATTATATTCAGCATTGTCGGTATATTAGTGGTTAGCAAAATTTATTATATTTATATTATTCTTTGAAATATATTGTGGATTTAATAAAAAATGTTTTAATGTCATCATGCATCATTATTTGCTACCCTACAAATACTTAGTTCAGAATACTTTTATTTGAAAAGTTAAAATTACAACAAGGACATCAAGTTACGACTTAATTATTATATTTTCGGCTTACTCACGTAACTATTTGATGAGGAACTCGACTAGTTAGTTACTCAAGCCATGCTTTTTTTTTAAGGGGGGAAAATCATCGAATGACTGCTCCCGCCTGGGTGAGGCGGGAGAGAGTGTCAGACTCTTACTGACTAAAAACCACCCCGTTCCTTCTCCTGCACGTCAAGCCGGAGCCCCGGTTACCCGTTAGGTTCTTAGAAGCTCATATTCATGAGCAGTATTCTGCGACCCGCGACGCGGCGACTGTCGCGCTGCTACCAACTGACTGATGTTGAGTATTAATAAGATAAGGTATCTACATAGATTTCTATCTGTGAAATTAGAAAGTAAAAACATCCAGTTTGAGGAGTCTGAAATGTATATTTATGTATGAATATCATCATTCCGCTAACAATACCTTTGAGAGAATAAATATTAAATGGTACACAAGATAATGTAAAGTACTATGGTATATGTATACATTGAATAATTCGTTTTACAATAATACGCCATAATAATTGACAACTACATCAACCTACAAAATCCTGTATCAAAGTGTAAATCTCACTGAGTACTTTACATCTAGGGCTAAAAATATCGCAGTTATTTAAATAACTTCAAGACAATATCCACTTTATATTATACACCATAGAAATAAAAGTCAAACATACATTGTATGTCAGATAATGATTACTAGAATGAAAACTGATCAGCACTTTGGTTTATTTTCTCACATTATTATTGTATTTAATTTACATTTGTTAATGAAGCGAAAGAGGTGTGTAAGAATTCTATCAATTAGCATTCCAGTCTGCCTACCCCTATGGGAGACAAGCGTGAAGTTATGTATGTATGTATGTATTATTCTATTTTCATATATGATTAGATAGAAGTAGTATTTTTTTTTGGCACATTCATAAGCAGTGTAGTTTTAAACACGACTAGTTGAATACCAAACCAGAAGTCTATTATCTGAAATAATACATTTATAGTACACTAAACAGTATCATGAACCAATATGTTCTGAATAAATACAATTATTGAATTGAAAGTTACTATTGTGCGGAATGCAGCAGCTATTTTTACTATTATCATTTCACTGTGAGCATACAAAATTGTTACAAAAATATGTCAGTCTAAGACTACCTAGAACTAATGGGACCCTGGTAAGGGTAGCAAGACTTTTCTGACAAACCATTTCCACAATTGGAATACCCTGCAGTAATTCAACCCTCAATACATTAATGATTACAACACTATTTTTGCATTTAAGGTCAATCGAATAATCATTTTATATGTTTTATATTTTATTTGGGTAATACGATGGAGCATATCGTCCCATAAGCAACATATTCACTCGGGCCTTTATAGATTGTGAGCAACTTTACATACTAAATTTCCATTCCAAATTGAATCAGTAGTGAAATATTGTATAAAATCCCTCCATAGAAGAATAGTGTTAATAATCTTAATAAAAATGCAACAATTTAATCTGAATTCTCTTCTTGCTCCTCCCCACTAGGGCCCTCATAAAACTAATATAAACTGGACAAAGGAGGAAATGCATTCTGCTTGCTTACTACCACCTTCTTGTGTTGATATGAGATATATCCCTTAATTTTTCCATCATAAATCAAATTCGCAACAATGCATTGAGTTTCATCAGCATCAACATCATCATGGCCCATCAGTTGTAAAGCAGCCTGAAAGCTAGCTATTTCAATTTGATGACTATTTTCAGCTAAATAGACCTTTCTGAACAAATTTCTATATGCGGTGATCTTTAATTTTTCAACAATTAAGTATATACCAGCACTAATAAAGAAGCTTTCATGTTCTTCCATCACTTGGTCTATTCCTCTCAAATCACCTTTCTTCACAGCAGATACCAGGTCCCAAAATTGCATTAAGTCATATTTTTGCAGCAACTGTATGGATGGCATGAAGCCTAGTAGCATTTTTACTGGTACTAAGTAGGTGAGAATGAGTCTTTTATTTTTAATACTTTGTCTATGACAATTGTGGAATGCAAATGACAGATAATCATCAGCGGATCTATAATCTGAATCGAACATAGCTTTGCGACCTACAAAGTATCTGTAGGTGATTTGTTGGGCCAATGGGAACTGATCTTTGAATGGTGATGAATCAATTGCTCTTATCAATGGTTTGCAAAGATGTAACTTATTAATCCGGAAGTACACTTTGAGGAGTTGGTTGACCAGAGTCAGCATTCCTAATCTCTTGGTGTCAGCATCAGATGAGCGGTTGTCTGCAGCACAGACCCTGAAGCATGCTAATAAGCTTTCTGCAGCCTTTTCAAGGATCTTTCCATTGCTTTGAACTGAAAAAATAAAGAGAAAAATAAAAAACAGAAAGAATAATTGGAATCATCATTAGTTAAGTTTATTAAAACAAGAAGATTAGTAAACTAGATACATATTATTTATTTGAACAGTACATACGGTAAGTAGCTTCAGCTTTTTGTGCTACAAGTCTTAGGTCCAAGCAGACTGTGTACATTACAGGTAGGCCCCAATTGACTTCCTTCTGATTTTGCAACAGTTTTACGACACAGGCCACACAGGCACTCTGATGCTCGAAAGCCTCCATGAAATCCCTTAAATACAGTGACTGTGAATGTGTAATAATTGGGTTATTTAAAAGCAGTATAAATAATGTTCAATAGTCAAAATAAGTACGTAATTAGATCGGTATGTCTGGTTCAGCAAAAGTATAAAATATGATTTATTTACAAACCTTTACACACAGAAGATGACTGATTACAATTTCGTCCAGTGGAGCCACACAGTTCCCTTCCACGAGTGTGGCAATGTCACTTGAGCGCAGGTTCCTGTTTCCTACATGTTCGTCACGAAGCGACAGTAAACGAGCCAGGAAATTTCCCTGAGAGGTTCTATACATGCGCTCGATCAGTTGTATGTATTGGTTCAGACTACCGGTGGACGACATATTGAATTGTTATTATCAAACGATTACTGTATCATAGTTAATTTATACAAGCAGTCAAAATGAGTTGTGTCTTTACTTCTATCAATTTACGATTATCAATTTTCTTTTTCTTTAAATAAAAGAATATTAAATAATAAATCACACTGAATAACAGACAAGACAATTCAGATCGGATATCGGAATCGGAAATTTGACATTTGACGTTAAAATAATGTCAAAATTGACATTACACCCTGTATCCACCATGGACGTATTATAGTTCGAAAAATTATGTACGTCCATGGTATTCACATAGAATGTAATTTTTTATTATCTATGCGCAACGGCAAAATATAGATAGATTATATACAGCGTATAGATAGGCTTGTATATGTACATGTTCTATACCTTCATGAAAGGTCAATTTCGGATATACAGTTACAGGTTAAGTCGACCTATTCCCGTTAAGAGCGTATAGTTTACATCGTTTCTGACAATTTTGATTATGAAACACCCTGTCCTAAATTTAACCGTTTTTGAGATAATTGAATAAAATTATTTCTATTAAAAATTCCCGATTTTGGACTGTCGGCTTAGATCATAAAATGTGTGAGCGTTATTGTTACTATGATTGGTTCTTTACTTGTAAATTACTACTTTTCATTGGCTATCCAACGAGGTATATAAAACAATCCACAATTATCAAAGTTGACTAAAAATTTGTTCGTTCCGGTAATCATAATATAACCGTGTACCTACTCCGTAAAAGAGTAACTAGTTACAAAAATACGCAGTTTCGAAACTAGCTAATCATGAAACTATGTTTTTTTTTTTATAAATAATAGGTCGATGTCATCATCTCACGTATAGTTACGCTTAAAATACGTTACAACCTATGTCTAACTGACTAACACTGATTCACAGGCGAAGACAAAAGTAAATAGTCAAAACTCAGAACTGATAGAACGAAAGATAAGCAGATTTTAAAAAATGAAATGGGCCAGTGTTTGGCGTGCACTACGAGGCCACGATGGAGCACGCCTGCCTTTAATATCACATTCACAGAAAATAAATAAAAATATTAAAATAAGATGCAAGGAAAGGGCTGACGCTGTATTATAGATGGGCGAAGGATAAATACTCAATGGATAAATACTCCGCAAAAATTGATAAGAACGGGTTCCATAACGGGTATTTATCACGTATTTATCCATTTCAGATAAATCCTTACCATCTTGTTTCAATATTTTAATTTCTTCTTATTTCTGTTTTTTTTATTTGACCAATGACTGTTTGACCAATGTGTTTTGTACAGAGAGACTTAACCTATGTAACCTTCTTCTTTCTGTGAATGTGATATTATAGGCATGCTACACGGCAGCTTCATACAGCAGGCCAGACCCTGACCCATTTCATAAAAAACCTGTTTAGTGTTTTCTCCGTTTAGTTTTGACTACTTTGTGATTTCTGTTTCTGTCACTGTCATTAGTGTCACTATCCCTTGTCAGTGCTGTCTTGTCACACGTGGGTTATTGAACTGAAATATTAAGGCGGTGAAGGCGAGGTGTTTTGTATTTGCTAGTAAATTTTGTGGATAGTTTAAGATTTATAATGGAGGAAAACGTAGCATTAGACTCGACGAAACAAAAGAAATTTGTAAAATCAATTAGAGGCATTAAAAAATTGATTAAGGTAACATTTTTTTTAAATTTATATCATTGAAAAGGGGTTATGAGAAGCAACATTTTCTGATACTTTATTGTAATTTTTACAGAAAAATGAAAAGAAAGCAGAACCTCAGAAAAAGGATGAGAAGACAGGGCCGATTCAGCCGGCCAAACCTTTTAGTATGAGGCTGAAAGGGGGCAAAGTAAACAAAAATAAAAAGAAGCGCAAGCAGAGGGGTCTCGTGTACCTAGCACATATTCCACATGGATTTTATGAGGTTATTTTGAATATTCAAACAAACATACTACAGAACATAATCATAGTCTTTGCTTTAAAGTATGAAACAGTATGTGCATTGCATAATATTTTTTAACACTTACAAATTAAATGTTTATAAATTATTATTTCAGCATCAAATGACAGAATATTTCAAGCAATTTGGTGTTGTCACAAACGTCAGAGTGATCAGATCAAAGCGGACCGGCAACTCTAAAGGTTTTGCATTTGTCGAGTTCAAAGAACCTGCTGTGGGACAAATTGTTGCTGAGACTATGAACAATTATCTTATGGGGAAACGACTGATCAAGGGTAATAATAACACAATTTACATTTATCCTGACAAATAATAACAACATTAAAATCTCGGCCACCAGGTAAAATAGTGGCCAAATGTCGGCCCATCGAATATTAGAAAATTCTAATATTTAAGAAAACTCCATTATAGCATAAAATAATTTTAGGATATGAATAGAATACTAATGAGTACTAATGATTACTTTTAATTAATTACAGCTGCTTATATTCCCCCTGAGAAACAAAGACATAATGCACTCAGAAAGCATTGGAATAATGTGAACAACCCTACAAGTAACAGGAGATTGAAAATGAAAAAGGTACCTAATTGAGTAATTATGTTACATACTGCACGAAGTCTGAAAACATGGCCGATATATGGCAATAGGTTCACCCCCTATTACATGGGACTCGTAACATAAAATAGTGAAAAGTGGGTGTTACATTGTATAGTGGCATTAAGAACCATAATGTGCAACCACTGCCTACCCCTTCGAGCTTTTAATTAGGTTACATACTGTCAATATTAGTAGGACCAATATATGTAATATTATGTTTCTGTTTGTTTTCTTAGGCATTCAATGCAGATAAAGATGAAGCTGGTGAATTGAAAAAGGCAAGAAAGCTTCTGACTAAGTAAGTTATTCAATTACTTTAAGGTAATATGCAAGAAATATTTATTTCTATCTTTAAACTGTCAAACACCAAGCGGTCGCCGGTGACCCCAACCTATTGTTCTATAATTGTGTCTATAATGACGGTACTCGACGAGTTAATATTTGTTTCTGTTTCAGCTTAAATAAGAACAAGAAGAAACTTAGTGATCTAGGCATAAATTACAATTTCTTTGCACCAGTAGATGTGCCAGAAGCACTGCTTAGTGAGATAGTTAAAGAAGAAAAAGTTGAAGATAAAAATTCTGTTAAGGAAGAAGAGAAGCCTAAGAAGGGTAAAAAGGAGAACAAACAGAAGGTAAAGAAATGTAACGTTTGGTAACCTGTTTTAGTATAAACTGTCTTTGTCTGTAGGGGTAAAAGTGACTTATGTTACTCGGTGTAGCTACCTCAAAGAGTAATGTATTTATTTTGGTATATGTATATGAATAATTGTACATGTAGTATAAAGCGGATTATATTTTAATATTACAAACAGACATTCCACTTTTATTTATATGTACAGATGTTTAGATTGATATGCAGATTGCAAGTTCATTAATTTGTAAGTCATTAATGTTTTAGATGACCATTGATATTGAGTTTGCAATAAGTAAAATTGTATTAGTATTAGGTTAATTGTAATTATTGTAAACAAGAAGTAGTTTGTGGATTAAATAAATAAATATGAAAACTAAGGAGGAGGTCATAAAAACCACGTGATTAATGGATGGTCCCTTATAATGGGCGTATTATGCCATATCAAATGCTGAATAATCAAATATCACTTAATTGACCTAATAACTACTATATATTGAAAGCCCACAAATACTCAAACATTAAGAATATGAAATGGTTATTAGATTGAACATTGAATACTCATTACATCATGTGTTCAAAATATCAAATGTTGGTTTAATCGAGATTTTAGTAATTAAATGTGTGATATGTTACACATTGCATATCGAAAGGTCAGAAGAAATACACAAATACCTTTAAATTACATTATAATATTATTTAACTTTTACAGGAAGAAGCAAAACCTGAAATAAAAGATAGTGGTAAACCACAGGAAGTTAAAGGAAAAAAGAATAAAAATAAAAAAGAAGACAGCAAACCAGAAAACCCACCAGCGGTAGCTAAAAAAGACAAAAAGGCAGAAGATAAAAAAGAAAATGGTAAAAAAGCAAATAAGAAAGATGTAAAACCAGTAAAAGTTGATGAAAAACAACAGAAACAAAAAGAACAGAAATTGAAGGATGCTGGTGTTAAACCAGCTGAGTTTATTAAATTAGACAATGAAGATTCTGGTGAAGACAGTGACAGTTCAGATGAATATGCGTTTGACTCTGATGAGTATGATAGAATGTTGGAAAAAATGAGTGAAAATTCAGAGTTGTCATTTTTGAGTGATGAGGAAGATGAAGAATCTTTTGGTGATGATGATGAGAAGGATGATGATGAAGAGGTGGATGGTGATGAAGACGAAGAAGATGATGACAGGTGAGCTGATGAACATTTACTGTTTGGTTTATTCTTCAAAACGGTAGACAAAATTGTACCATGTGTGGGACACAAGTGTGGGAATGCTTCGGCACGAATGGGCCGGCACTACCGGAGTAATACCACAGCCTCACAGAAAACCGACGTGAAACAACGCTTGCGTTGTGTTTCGTCGTGTGAGTGAGGTTACCGGAGGCCCAATTACCCCCCTCTCTAGTCCCCGTCTCCCGAATCCCCGAATCCTCCACAATCCTCAAATTCCCAATTCCCAAAACGCCGGTAACGCATTTGTAACGCCTTGGTATTTCGAGTGTCCATGGGCAGCGCCGATTGTTTACCATCAGGTGATTCGTCTGCTCGTTTACGGGCTTATGCTATAAAAAAAACCACACAGTTAGTTATTATACCATTTTTAACTGTAAGTCACATTGTTGACCATTAAGCTGAATTACAATTTTGTGGAGTAATTGTCTGCTTTGGGAATTCAATTTACTTCTGGTGTTGGGTAATAGTACTTGTGCTGCAATTAATCATTAATCAAGTTTTCTGTCATAGAACTACTTTTTCAGTTAATATTTCTGATTTCAGTGACGAAGAAGAGGCACCACCTAAGAAGGTTAAAGGCAAACCTGCTTTAAAAGCAGTACAGCCTGTACCTACGAAAAAACAGCCATCAAAACCACAGGCAAAGAAACAGTCGCCACCCAATCCACAGGCTAAAAAACAAGAACAAAAGAAACCTGTTGAAGCAAAAAGAAAAGCACCTACAAGTAAGTGTATATCTATTGACTGGCGACTCCCGCGCGATTTCACTCGGCTCCAATAGATGAATTTTAGTAGTGATTTTTTATAGTCTTTCTCTGTAACTGTAATTTGTTAATTTCAGAACCAGCAGTTTCACCTAAGAAACCGAAGTTTGAGAAGACAAATCAAAAACCTATGAAAAAACAGTTTAAGAAAAAGTAGGATTAATAAATATGTATACATAATTATTATGTTTTTCGTTTTAATATTTTTAATTATACAAACCTTGTAATGATAGCTAAGCTAGCTAGGTAAACGGTAGCCCCTGTAAGGAGGAGATGGAAGCGAGAGGAATATACCGCATTTCCGAACTTCAATAAAAAAAATTGCAGGTACTATTTATTTATTGACTTCATTTTCTAATAACTTGAAATATACACGTAAAACCAATACCATTTATTCTACCAATAGGTATATAATAAAGACATACTGATACATGCGGCGGGGTTCACAGGACACTACTTATGGATAAAAATATTTAAATATTCAAAATTTAATAAAATGTACATAGTACACAACTACACACTTATCTACCTTGAATGAAAGGTGCAAATTTAATAATTAATGGAAAAATGTAAGAATAATAAAGTTAAAAAGTTTGATTGACTTATTATAAGTTTGTTCCACTATATTTTTATGAAATGTTAGTAAAAATGCCCTGCATTTATTTGTACTTATTGAGTAATGAACTTGATTTGGTGTCAATCAAACTTGAAGATAGATATAGCCTCACTGAAGCACTGTAGACACCTAATAAGTCGTTCACAAAGAATGTTTTTCTTTGTCTTCTAATACTAATACAAAAATAAATGTAATTTGTTCTCTGAAATTGAGCTTGAGAACCTATCTGGTTCTCATTTTCAACCTCCATTGTCACACTACCTCAGTAAGGCAGTTCTTAAATACGTACCTACCTAATAAAAATTGTGTAACATGTGGCGAATTATTATTTAAAGTTCACAAAAACTGGTAGCCACCATTGGTTCTACCGAAAATGGTAGAAGGTGCTCTGTAATTTTCTGTCTTTTAGATCACATAGGTACTTGTATGGTCTCTTGCAACCTATCTTACATAATATGTAAACGATTTCATAACTACACAGTACTATATATTAATAATAATATAATTAAATGATTCACCACACAAATAAAATATGTGTTTGAATAAATCGACAACAAAATTATCTTAAATGTATTTAAATTTATAATAAGAATTACTCTGCCTCATTCAGCTGGACTATAACTGGCCTTTCGTCTTCTTCATCAGCATCTAAACCGGTGAAGTCCCATTGCAGTTTATCCGTCAGATTGTCCTTGAACCTCTCAATCATTGTCAGAAGACGGCCGTCGACTTTGCTCACATAAGCAGTACGGAAAAATTCCCGTAGTTTCTTGTAAACTAAATTCTTGTTCATAACAATGTCAGCAAGGAAATCCTCAGGCATTTCTTCAATTTGTATTTCGATTGTTCTGATGAAATGGAAGAACACGCTGCGGTATTTGTGTATGGCATCGTCGCAGGAGCACATGAGGATCACCAGATTTTTCCAATGTTCAAAAGCTTCGAGAGAATGTCCGATAAGAAAACACAGGTATGCGAATTGAAGTTCGCCAATGATATGTAGCGGCCTGGAAATAAAAAAAAGGGTTTAATCAAAATCATGCTTGACAATTATTTAAGATTGGCAAGATGAGTGGTCGCAAGTATGACTGCCGGAGTGGGTTCGATTCCCGGGAAGCAAAGTAATATTGGGGAGTATTAGTTTGGGGTCTGGAATTGTTGGTATTGTATTTGATGGAACAATCATAACTGTATACATACAGTAACATTGTACATTTATATCTCCATCTCCTTTTATTTATTTACACTTCTTGCAATTGTATACAATGGCGGACTTAATGCCTAGTGGCATTCTCTAACAGTCAACCTTAGAGTGATGCAGAGAGACACAATAGTAGGTGTAAAACTTTTAGTATGTGCTTTATGCAAAATGTTATAAATACAAATATTGAATGAACTTACTCATCATGTTGTGCGATCATAAGTTCCAATGAATAAGATTGGTCCAAATAGTGTTTCGTAATCTCTTCTGGTGTCGATCCCGGCGGAAACTTGTCGCGCGGAATTTCTGTGAATCTCATTGACATACCTGCAAGGTAATGTTAAAAATATGAATATGAGACATAAAATATCTATATACTTTTATAAACGTGGAAAGTTTGTTTGAATGCGCTAATCATCAAACAACTGTTGAATAAAATTTTCCAGACATTAAACTCAAACTTAACAAAATGGAGACTCAATAGTAAAATCTTTAAATAATCTATTGTACACACAATATAATTTTTTTTAAATGTTGCCTCACTTTAGGATTTTCTCCTGTGTCGTGGGTGCGTTTTACAAACATACAAGTTCTCATACACATGACACCCAGACCCGACACAACAATTTGTGGATCACACAAAGTCACACGGATCAACATCCGTGCGGGAATCGAACCCGCGACACGTTGCACGGCAGCCGGTTGCCCAGTCACTAATGGAAGGGCACAAACTTGCATACTTTAAAGCTAAAACTATTATAATAAAATAAAAATTGCCAAGTCATCTTCTGACTCTCATTATAACAATACTATTCAGCAAGGCATTCAATTCAACTGTAATAAATTACCTGGAGCAGGTTTCAAATCTGGTAGCATTGCATCTTCTCTTTCTTCCTGTGTACCTCTCTTTGCTCTCTTAGCTGTAGATTGTCCAGCAACTTCTTCTTTATCTTCACCCGAGACTTTTGGAGACTCTTCGGCACCTTCTTGACTTTCCACCGACACTGTAGACTTCACACCCCTTGGTCTTTCCTCATCAGTCATAGAAAGGAGTTCAACAGAAGCTCTGATCATACCATTCTCTGGCGACAGTTTAGCTGCTAATTCAGCTGTAATAGGAATTAGTTATTAATGTTTGTTTATTATACACAATATAATAATATTTATGGCAATTAATATGATAATTGCATATCAATGTCACATAAGATAATAAATTATTATACATTCTGTTAGTTGTAGGTAATAATTCTGCTACCTTGGTTATCTAACCTTCATTAATATAAAGGATGTATTATATTATTATTATAAACCTACCAGGTATTTGAGAAGTAAGTAGTTTCCATTTCTGCCATATTTCATAGGGGTAAGGTGCAAGGTGACGGTCCAAATTAAACAGATTGTCTTTCAGGCGCTGGATGCTTTCTTCTGTAATCTCTTCTTTACTCATGTCCTCTGTATCTTTGTCCCACATTTTGACTAGAAACTCTTTTTTGTGGAAGTAGTGCATGAAGCCTGATCTGAGGATATTGAATCAGGATAATAAGCAAAAACTTTAACTAACCAGTAACTTTACAAATTAATCATTATATACTATTTGATAGTAGAAGATTAGTCAATTTCGACATTGTTGGGGAAATTATTTTATAATATTGGTGTTATTGCTTAGCATCATTCGTTTCGAACAATCATATGTTTCCTTGTTGTTTGTTGTGATTTTGACATGTTTTTATCAAATATCATGTTTTATAGACTTCATAGCAAAAAGAACTTACCTTGGCGACACATCTCCAGTTCCTTTGCTCACTCCAGAAAAATGTATGTAGTGCAATCCAGGTGGAATCATTTTAATTCCGCGAAAATCTTCTTCTGTATTCCAACACTGCATATCTATGCCAAACTGTGTTTCTTGAGGTACTCCGAGGAAAACAAACGTTCCTCCTTCGAGTAAAAGCTTTTTCGCAGTTTCTTGGTCCATTTTGTTCAGCTAAACCCGAAGTAAATCAATAAAATGTGATAAAAATACAAGCGATCAATATGTTTACATCCGGGAAATGTCAAATTTGTTTGACATTTGTCGAGAGTGAGATCGACGATGCGGTGGGTTTGTGCGGAGGTGAGGTTGTTCGAAGGACCACAGGTTAAAAATGTATTGTGTAGGCGTTTTTTATCGTATCCATTGCGTATCTCTTGGTATCAGCTCCGTTATTCAATAAATAATTAAATATAACTACGATTTTTAGTATTGACATAAATGTTTATAAATGATATATTTTTTTCATTTTGTTCGTCGTTAATTAAAACCTTCGTCGCCATTATGTTTGTTATTTTAATACTTTGCCAATGATTGCATGAACTTCAGATTTTAGATCGTATCGGTAATATGGACTATGGCATAATGCCCGAAATATAATAATATAATGTGTGTGCATCGTGTGTCGGCGCACTTAAATCTTACTCGTTTCATACTATATTTCTGTAGTTTCATACATATAGTTAAATATGGTTAGAGCCACACTTGTATATTGTGGTGTGTAGCGTGGGTCACCAAATGCCGTTACAGCCGATTGGTGACTACTGCGCCGCGCTACTCCACGCCTCTAAAAAATCTCAAATGTGTCTCTGACTTTAGTCACATTCCTCTTTAATTGAATTGAATTATGTAGGTACTTACCTATCAACAGTGTCAGTAGGTATAGGCATCGCATGCACGACTGTGAGTAGGTAGACTGATGATAATTAATTGATAATGACTAGCACGAGTCATTCATAGAAACACTGTTCTAACTCACGGAACATCAAGCAACAATGTAATAATTATGTAGGCTTATATCGTTTTCGATGTATTTTATATTTAATCAATTAGGATGGTAGGTAGGAAGTCCCTACATACCTACAAGGTGTCCCTGAAGTCGACGATCAAATGGCACCAGGTAAACGGCAAGGTTCCAACAGTTATCAGAAAAATATTTAAAAAATTCTAAGTCAGATAGTTTTTAAATTACAATGACTTATGTAGTGTCCACGAAAAAGTCCACGAGTATGTGCCAGTCTTTTGACTCTTGTTGCAACAATTCTTAATTTTTTCGTCTGTATTTTTGCTTACGTTACGTACCTAAATAATGCTTCAGGATTATGTAATCCCATATTCTGAACCAACTGCTTTAGTTTAGAAAATTCTCACTGTATAATAATATTGTTAATTTAATGTAGTCTCTTCATTAGGTAGGTACAGTATCTTCATTTACATAGCTTTATTTTTTAATAATTTCATCTTTTTAATATTTTAAAACATTGTAAAGGCAGGTAAGTGACGTAAGTAGGTACAGACCTACTAGCTATGTAGGACACTTGTAGGCACATGTAGGTACATGTTTATGTATCAACTATCCAGAAAACTTGGACATACTTAAGTTTTAAGTAGGGATTGAAACTCATAAATAATATTATTTATCCCCACAATAGAGTATTCTACTATGCGAGTCGTGGTCGTGCGCTTGCAAACCGACAATTACACATAGGTACCTACCTACCTCCATGACGAACGTCACCCAGATCCGGAACAACTATTTGTGAAGAGTTGCTACGTGCGACAGTCGAACCCGCCGTCGTGGCAGCCGTTTCCTCAACCACCACCAACCGTGGAATCCTATTGTGCATAGTTAATCATCAAAATTATTTAAGTTTAAAGTGTGAGAGAGTCGTGCTTCGGCATGAGTGATACTGATACCACGACCTCACAGAAAACTGACGTGAAAAAACACCTATAGGTATCCAAATTCCTAATCCTCAAAAGGCCGGTAACGCACTTGTAACTCCTCTTGCGACTGGTGTTTCGAGTGTCTCGTTTACCGGCTTATTCCATAAAAAAAAATTAGTGATTAAAACATCACAAGTCTTCGGATATTTTATGAAATGCAACTATTCCATGAATCATTCAACCGCTTGAGTTATTCAATTTTTACTTTCAAATCATTATATCATGACCACGATATATAAATAGTATTACGTACTTAAATAGGTTTCAATGTTCATGAATTTCAAGTAACAGTAGCCTGTAAGCAAGTACCTATCTACTTGTGTACCTACTATACTATATACCTACGTATTAGTAGGTAAATAATTATTATTTGTCCTTCAATGGAAATGCAGGTACGGATGTATCTATTACAAATGTATCATCTACATAAGTACTTTCCCAATGTAAACTCGATATTAAAAATCCACTAAGAGCTCATACATACGTACGAAAATTGCGTCGATCCCAAAGAGGTTTGTTTTCCACTTGTGATTTCGTCAGACGAGCGAGCATACTCGTTCGAATAGTTTGCGTTCGTTGAAAAATTCCTACCGAAATTTTAGTCTGAATTTTTTTCGAGTTCTCGCGTCGAGAGGTTAACACAGAAAGCTAGATGTCGAGCATTACGCAGCACCTGCATTTTTGTTTTAGTACTGATTTTTTTTGACTAATTATTTTCAACAGGTGACGAATTCAACGTCTCGAGCACCACTAGCGCCGGCGAGACGGAGCGGCAATCAGAAAAGCGCTTTAGTTTAGCTGTCGCTTGCAATTAGTGGATTTTATGAACCAACCAGACTATCCCACTATAATGTACTCCGTCCTTATTTCGTGGTTTTAATTATCGGCGTATCTGTCTTTTAATTGGTACGGTTTTGTTCTCTTTCTGATAACCATAAAGAATGAAGATCATTGTAACCGTGTTAAAAATAAAGGAAACAAAGTTGCCTTTGTTGGGTAGTTGTTGACAACCCCGAACCGTTACGTAATTCAATTTTGTAAATATAGATGTTTAGAGTTCAAAGGTTCATGTTTGAAAATTCGTTGCATTTGATTGCTGTCCTGTCGGTGATTTTTGAGTGGCGTGAGTTCTGCGGCGTCTCCCTGTCAATCGACTTTAAAAATCGATTCCCTTTAAAATTCATCACAGTGAGTGATGAATATTGAAGGGAAGCGTGCCAAATATAGTAATTTCCAGTTTTTTTTGCTTTCTAATTGATACGCCATACAGACATATGTTTGATAGTTTTTCTACCATATCATTTTAATTATGACCAATTACCCAAGTAGCTTTTAGTCTAGCTATTAGTGGAGATTTATATCATACGAAAATAATGTACAGTACAATTCGTAACTGGCAATTGGCACATTCTAATCAAATTGTTAGCAGTCCTTTTTCACAACTGGGTCTCGATACATCCGATTTTTGATATCGCTGACGAATAGAGACTCTCAGTGGGTATACACCTGGGAAATTAGGATGTAAATTTCCATTCGCCCGCTCCCACGGACCTATATTCACCATTTCTTTGTTTTCATCGGAAATTTAAGGATACAAAGCCTCAGGGGCCTTCCTGCGCGAAGACAGCAGGATTAGGCCGCGAGGGATGATGAATACAGGGGCAAACACATACACAAGGGTTACAAGATAAAATTCACACCTTCTGTTAGATAAATTGGATCCAAATGATTACAATTGTGAATATTTCGTTGTTTATTTTTATGTGTGTTGTCTTGAGCTGATTCAGTTTCGCTGATATTTCATGATGGTTTTTCAATAAATATTGCTATACCAATCGCAATTGTTTTAGCAAATGTTACCGAAAAGCGTTTGGGATACCGATAAGCATTGTTTTATTGTGACTTGTTATTAACACATTTTTTTCGCATAAGCCGGTAAACGAGCAGACGGATCACCTGATGGTAGCAATCGGCATCGCCCATGGACACCTGGAACATCAGAGGCGTTACAAGTGCGTTACCGGCCTATTGGGGATTAGGAGTTTGAGGATCGTTGGGGATTCAGGAATTGAGGAGATTGGGTATTATATATTTTCCTTATATTTTCATTTTGTCCTCATCTGTCTAAGTTACTAGAACTGAACACACATCGATATAATAACTAAGTAACCTGTACGTTAATGTACATCGACAACACGTCTCGGAAGCACTCCGGAGACATGAACACTATTAAAAGTTCGACTAACTCCGTGAGAGTAGCGACGCAACTAGTTTATGTTAGCGACCTATCTAAGCACCAAATAGCCTCGGAGATGTAATTCTTACAACTAGTAGGTAGTGGTTGTTTGATAGTTCGGACACCACAAAATCTCAGGAGCAAAATAATAAAAATAAGTAAGATTGTTTTGCGAAATCTCTCTCGGTTAAATTAAATTTTCTGATTAAGTATTGAGAATGTTATATCTGCGTACTTATTCATTGATACTGGTGATGTATTTATAAGGAATTTAGCAAGTGGATTTTGCAACTATAACATAAAACCTCGCAAAATTTTAAATACATACAAAAGTTTTGTTTAAATGTATTTTAGACTTTTTTTTTTTTTTTTTAAGGGGGGAAAATCATCGAATGACTGCTCCCGCCTGGGTGAGGCGGGAGGGAGTGTCAGACTCTTACTGACTAAAAACCACCCCGTTCCTTCTCCTGCACGTCGAGCCGGAGCCCCGGTTACCCGTTAGGTTCTCCGCGACTCCGAATCGGCATCGGCCCTATTGGGCCCCATCTGTGGTGGTCTGATGGCTCTTTGAGGCGCGCGCGGAACGCGACGCGCCATACGCTCGGGTCTGTTTCTGGTCGGACGGGGAGCCACCCATGCTCGCCGTCCGCAGGCCCGCGCTTACGGTGGCCGGAGATCGTCCCGCGATCCCCGACGCCCGGTGTGTCCTTCGCGATGGCTGGGTTGCGAGGAGGCAGCGCTTCGCTGCCTCACGCGTCCCGCCTCCTCCTTAGCTAGCATGACTGCTTCGCAAAAGGAGGAGACGGCATCCCAGTCCCCCTCGCTCCGCATCATGGCCTGCACTAGGCCCGGACGCGAGAGGTCGCCATCGCCGATCACTTCCCTGAGGACACGGCGGTGCTCAGCCCACGAAGGGCATTCTCCCACCGTGTGTTCCACCGTGTCCTCAGGGCGGTCCTCGCAGTGATGACACCCGGGCGTTTCCTCCCGCCCCATCAGACACAGGTACCTCCCGAAACTTCCATGTCCGGTGAGGACCTGCGTCAGGCGGTAGGTGAGGACGCCGTAGCGTCTCTCAAGCCACTCCTCAAAGAGG